CTCAAACTCCCAGCATGCCCGAGCAGAGCAACGACTACCGGGTGGTGGTGTTTGGAGCCGGGGGGGTTGGGAAGAGCTCGCTGGTCCTTCGGTTTGTGAAAGGCACGTTCAGAGACACCTACATCCCCACAGTGGAGGACACCTACAGACAGGTGAGACCTGAACACACACATCAGGAGGTTTACCTGCTTCAGTTAGAAGGTCGACAAAATGTTCGTTTAAACGAGACCATCTGTTATCTTACCGATCGATCGTATCGAAAAGTAACAAAGCTATAAATCACAAATGGCACAAATAACTCCTGCAAAGTGTCGAACATGCAGAAATATGTCGGCAATGTTTTGGTACTGAGCACTGAAAACGAGAATCCCAAAGTATTAGGAGCCTTGGATGTCTGTTTTTGTTGCCGTGGTAACAACAAAACTCTGTCATCATGTTCAGTCATTGAGCAGCACCTGTCCTCTCTGCAGGTGATCAGCTGTGATAAGAGCGTCTGCACGCTGCAGATCACAGACACAACAGGAAGTCATCAGTTCCCCGCCATGCAGCGCCTCTCCATCTCCAAAGGACACGCCTTCATCCTGGTTTTTTCCATCACCAGCCGCCAATCACTGGAGGAGCTCAAACCCATTTACCAGCAGGTGACTGGCTGTCTTTACATTTCCAGATGATAATAGAGCTCAACAGTTACCGCCCACTTTATCAGCGGTCTGGTTCCCAATCGTCTGTTGACGTTTAACTAAATATTCAGATTGAAGCATGCAACCATGACAACCAGCTCCTATACTCGAGACTATAAAATATCTGATTTGGTGCCAGAGCGGCGTTAAAAGACGAGAAAAAGGCAAAGGTACAAGACTGTGTACATGTTTTTCTTCTAAAGTCAAGGAACTACACATCCCACAATCCATTGCAAATGATATCTCTTCCTCTTAAATCTGGCTTTAGTCATTGTTATAGTGTTTATAACAATTGTTAAAACAAGTAACTTCCATCTAATATCTTTCAGTTTTTATTGAACTAATTAGCTATCCTGCTAGCAGAACTATCCCTTTGCCATGGAGTAAAAAAAACCTGCAGTTCCTCCAGTGTCCACTAGAGTCTGTCTCCTGCAGTGAGTCAGTCCCCATAGAGCCCCATGTTAAAATGTCCAACTTTACAGCTGCAGTTCCTCCAGTGTCCACTAGAGTCTGTCTCCTGCAGTGAGTCAGTCTCCATAGAGCCCCATGTTAAAATGTCTAACTTTACAGCTGCAGTTCCTCCAGTGTCCACTAGAGTCTGTCTCCTGCAGTGAGTCAGTCCCCATAGAGCTCTATGTTAAAATGTCTAACTTTACAGCTGCAGTTCCTCCAGTGTCCACTAGAGTCTGTCTCCTGCAGTGAGTCAGTCCCCATAGAGCTCTATGTTAAAATGTCTAACTTTACAGCTGCAGTTCCTCCAGTGTCCACTAGAGTCTGTCTCCTGCAGTGAGTCAGTCCTCATAGAGCCCCATGTTAAAATGTCTAACTTTACAGCTGCAGTTCCTCCAGTGTCCACTAGAGTCTGTCTCCTGCAGTGAGTCAGTCCTCATAGAGCTCCATGTTAAAATGTCTAACTTTACAGCTGCAGTTCCTCCAGTGTCCACTAGAGTCTGTCTCCTGCAGTGAGTCAGTCCTCATAGAGCCCCATGTTAAAATGTCTAACTTTACAGCTGCAGTTCCTCCAGTGTCCACAAGAGTCTGTCTCCTGCAGTGAGTCAGTCCTCATAGAGCCCCATGTTAAAATGTCTAACTTTACAGCTGCAGTTCCTCCAGTGTCCACTAGAGTCTGTCTCCTGCAGTGAGTCAGTCCTCATAGAGCCCCATGTTAAAATGTCTAACTTTACAGCTGCAGTTCCTCCAGTGTCCACTGGAGTCTGTCTCCTGCAGTGAGTCAGTCCTCATAGAGCCCCATGTTAAAATGTGTACCTTTACAGCTGCAGTTCCTCCAGTGAATTTGAAATGTTAAAAAATGTAAGAAAACCTCTCTGACCATTTTTTAATTTCCTAAAACCTTAACCCTTAAAGTTGCCTCCCAACAATCTGACTGACCCGATCCATGTCCCTGCAGGTTCTGGCCATCAAAGGCACTGTGGAGGCCATTCCCATCATGCTCGTGGGCAACAAGAGTGACGAGATGCACCAGCGTGAGGTGGAGACGAAGGAGGGCCAGGCTCAGGCCAACGCCTGGAAGTGTGCCTTCATGGAGACGTCGGCCAAGACCAACTCCAACGTGAAGGAGCTGTTCCAGGAGCTGCTGTCTCTGGAGAAGAAGAGGACATGAGTCTGAGCATCGACGGGAAGCGCTCGGGGAAACAGAAACGAGCCGACAAGCTGAAGGGGAAGTGCAGCATCATGTAGAGCGAGGAAAACGAGGAGAGAAAACTGAATGTGGAAACAGAAACAAGAGGGGGGGAGGGGAAGCGAGACGGCCCCTCCTGTCTGTCCTCAGCTCCGCATCACGAGGGAGACGTCTTCTTCTTCTTCTTCTTCTTTGGTGGCTGTCCTCCTCCGTCTGTCTGAGCACTGAAGCCGAGAGGAACAAATTAATGTTGATTAGAGAAACTTTACAGGGCCTCGAGCTCGTCCCTACCCTGACCTGGAATGTGTCTGTAACCCCCGAAAACACTTTAAAGTTTACACAGCAGACCGACTGCTGCCACGGCAACCATCACACCTTCTCTTAAAGGAATACTCCGCTGTTTCACATGAACACCAAGTCTGAATGGAAACACCGGTATTTATCCAATGTGTTCTACATTTTACAGTCACAGTTGGTTTTTTAAAGCAGTTCCTACTAAACTAAACTAAAGGAGAAAGTGCCTGAAACCCGGCTGGTAAAAAGGACTCGGCTTTAAATTGGCGAGGAGCTTCATTTAGTTTCCCCTAAAATGCAAAAAAGCCATTAGGCCCCGTGTCCACCTGGCGTTTTTTTCTTTTGTCCGTTGTTTTCAACGAGTAGAGAGCGTTCGCAGCAGCAGGCGGCCGCCCGGAGAGCGTAGCGCCTAGCATCTTTTTTTCCGAGCGCGCCGCCTGTTTTGCATGGCCGCTCCAAGTGAAAAAAATGTGCTGTTCATAAAGGCGTTGTTGACGTAACCGGCGCTCTTTCCAACATGAATGATATTCCCCGTAACTTAGCCGTTTATCTCGGTTCCTCGTCCTCCTCGCTCCGTGTCTGATCGGGAAATATAAAACATGCAGTACAAAGTAACGGAGCAGTGTCGCTCATACAGCGGTAACCGTTGTCAACAGACTGTTGTCATGGAGACTGTTGTCACGGAGACTGTTGTCATGGAGACAGGACGGACGTGCAGCACTTTTCCGCGCACAAACGCTTCATGCAAACGCTCCAGAGCGCACCGCCGGCGCTTTACTGCCCGAGAAAACGCCATGTGGACACGGACCCTCACCTTAGATATCCGCTCTGGATTAGCACACACGCTGTTAGCTCTTATTGATGACCATGCAGTCCTGACGCAGCTACATGAACATGAAGAGTGAAGTATTCCTTTAGCCAATGAGACAGCTGACATCCTGACTGTCATTGATTAATCGTCTTCATCACAGACCGTAAACAACAGGATGTTCAGCTCAGCTTCCTGCGCTCATTAGATGAACGCCTACACACAGGCTAACAGTCCGTTAGCGCAGTGTTTCAGCGGCTTGCGCTCCTGCTGACAGGTGTGTGTGTGTGTGTGTGTGTGTGTGTGTGTGTGTGTGTTACTGTGTGTGTGTGTGTTACTGTGTGTGTGTGTGTGTGTGTGTGTGTGTGTGTGTGTGTGTGTTACTGTGTGTGTTACTGTGTGTGTGTGTGTGTGTGTGTGTGTGTGTGTGTGTTACTGTGTGTGTTACTGTGTGTGTGTGTGTGTGTGTGTTACTGTGTGTGTGTGTGTGTTACTGTGTGTGTGTGTGTGTGTTACTGTGTGTGTGTGTGTGTGTGTTACTGTGTGTGTGTATGTGTGTGTGTGTGTGTGTGTGTGTGTGTGTGTGTGTGTGTGTGTGTGTGTTACTGTATGTGTGTATGTGTGTGTGTGTGTGTGTGTTACTGTATGTGTGTGTGTGTGTGTGTTACTGTATGTGTGTGTGTGTGTGTGTGTGTGTGTGTGTGTTACTGTATGTGTGTGTGTGTGTGTGTGTGTGTGTGTGTGTGTGTGTTACTGTATGTGTGTGTGTGTGTGTGTTACTGTATGTGTGTGTGTGTGTGTGTGTGTGTGTGTGTGTGTGTGTGTGTGTGTGTGTGTGTGTGTGTTACTGTATGTGTGTATGTGTGTGTGTGTGTGTGTGTGTGTGTGTTACTGTATGTGTGTGTGTGTGTGTGTGTGTGTGTGTGTGTGTGTGTTACTGTATGTGTGTGTGTGTGTGTTACTGTATGTGTGTGTGTGTGTGTGTGTGTGTGTGTGTGTGTGTTACTGTATGTGTGTGTGTGTGTGTGTGTGTGTGTGTGTGTGTTACTGTATGTGTGTGTGTGTGTTACTGTATGTGTGTGTGTGTGTGTGTGTGTGTGTGTGAGCTGACAGACTGAACGTTTCCACGAGCACAAACCGGCTAACAACTCACGACAGGTTACGACATCCGTTAGCATAAAACACGAAGCTGCTAACGGAGCAGCAGTGGAAACCTCCTCAAACTGTAAATGTAATTTAAAGGATCGGTCCTGGATTCATTTTAAATGTTCTTCTCCAGATTCTCATGTTTCAGATCCACATACAGAACAATGTTTAGCCTAGCTTAGCACAAAAACTGGTGACATGGGGAAACTGCTAGCATAGCTCCTGAACGCTCGACCCTACGACTTTTTCTCTTCTGATTCACATCTCTGATTCCGTTAGCTTACAAGCTAGCCAGCACCCAGTAGGCTGAGTTACAACAGGAAACAAACCCGACGATGAACCGGAATGTTTTTTTTAAATGTTTTGGTGCTCTTGTGGGTTTTGTGAGCTGACGATTAGCATTAACGCCTTACCTGAATGTTTACCTTTCTTAAAGGAATGAACCTTAAAGTCTTAAAAGCCCTTATCTCCTCTGCAAAATCCATTAAAGTTGACTTTCAGTGATTTTTCACTTCAGTGTGTGTTTCCAGATGTTTTTGACTGCTGCATGTTTATTTGTTGTATTAAGCTGTAAGTGACTGCAGGGGGAGCTGTTTAACCTGTGACACATGACCTCCTGTGATGTCACATGAGTCAGCACTATGTTCTGTACGAAGCCCCGAAGACTCAGGTAAGAACAAATACAAAGATTTTGTAAATCAATCCCTGAGTTTAAAAATCCATCTGCACAGATTTGCAAAACATGAGAATTTTTATCTAAATATTATATACCGGTATATATATATATATATATATATATATATATATATATAACTATTATGTATAATATTTTCCGGTGTTGAAACATGAAGCCGATGCTTGAAATGTAACATCCTGCAGTTCCTGGAGTGTCCACTAGAGGCTGGCTGCAGAAGTACAGGAAGTCACATACACACCCATTCTAAAAAAGCCTCTTTACGGTCTACTAAAGAAGTATTTACAGAAACAAAAACAAGAAAGAGAGAGAGCACATTCCTCCTGTTATAAATTTATAAAAGATATACCGTAAAATCTGATGTATAAGACGCACTTTTAATACCTATTTTTTCGTCTTCTAAGTTGGCTGCGTCTTATACACCAGTATAAAAGACTGAAACACGCGCCGTCATTACAGCGGAGCAGCGGCCCCTATCACAGCGATTACAAACCTTACAGTCTATGTTAAAAACACATCCCCATTCCCCGTGTATTGAAAGCTGAGTGCACGCTGTGCTGGGAAAGACGGGGACACAGACCAGGCTGGCTGCGTGACTTTTTTCACATCTTTTCTCCCTCACGAGGTCATAATCTACATTTACAGAAACAGTGGTATATTGTTCTGTAAATAGACCTTGTGGAGTTCTCTTTTGATTGAAAGACTCCTATATTTTTTTATCCCACAACGGAGAAATTTAAATAAACATGTCAGAGTATTTTAGAAGTGCCTTGCTGTGAGGAAAGTTAAAAAACGTAGAAAAGTCCTGATGCCTCTAAGGTGAACGACATGACGGCGTGTTGTCATGGTAACAGAGCAGTCACAAAGTGCTTTCCCGTTCCTATTTAACCATCTCGAGCCCTCACAGTGCACTCGATCACTCTCCAGGTGACGGCAGTTAGAGGTCCTTAAAGGCTCGGGGCTCAGGGGGTTTGGAGCAGCAGTAGCTCAGTCTGTAGGGACTTGGGTTGGGAACCAGAGACACACCGGTTCAAGTCCTGGTGTGGATCAAAATATGAAAGTTGCTCTGGTAGCTGGAGAGGAGCCAGCCTGAACATGGCACCGAACCCCCAACCCCCCCTGGTGCACTCCCTCCATAGCAGCCTCACTCCCACTAGTGCATGTCCACAGGTCCTGTTTGTGTGTGAGTGTGATTCAGGTCTATGTGTGTGAGAGACATGTCTATAAATAACAGAGTGTGACCCAGAATTCCCTCAGGGATTAATAAAGTATGGAAATCATTTTTAAAATGTAAAAACTCTGGAGGACATGCAGATTCAGCCTTACACTTGATGATCGTGTTTCACTCTTACTGTCCTTTAACTAACCATGACTGAAAAGATCTTAAATATTTGAACTGGTTAGCTCAGAGTGTTGATGTTAAAATAACAGACAGTTCTGTTTTTGACCACCAGAGGTCAGCAGTGCACATACTTTGATTTGGTCAAATCTTCTCAGAAAGATAGAAAAACTTTATTGCTGGTCCCAATAGTGACAGAAATTCAGACAAATATCAAACAATAAACACAAAGTGCTGTACAGACTGTTACAAATAACAACTTTTTAAAAAGGGGTTCTATTTGACTTTTCTTCAGGATGGTTATTGCAGAGGGAATGAAGGATTTTTTGTAGATGTTTTCCGGGGCCAGAGGGACTTTGTAGCGTCTGCCTGATCGCTCTTCAAAAGAGGAACAAGAACATAAAGAGTCCAAATGTAAACTTCAAGTCCCTGCAGGTATTTATGAAAATATATTTAATTCTCACTTCTTCTTTGGTATTTCTAGCTGACCTGCGGACATTTTTATTCGCTGCAAAGAGGATTTTTCTTTTGGTCATTTTCAATCAGTATCAGGATTCAAACCTGCGGCCACTTAAAGACTGAAGCCTCTCGTCATGAGACTGAAACAAGCCGACCTTTAGGGTCTAAAAATATATTTAAACATTAACTTAGAGTCTACCTGACATGTAGCCTCACACAGCGCTCTGACATCACGAGTCATA